ATTAATATGAGGAAGTGATTAATATATATATATATACTGGCAGCATATTTGGGGTGTTGTATTCGTCGGTGTGGGGGCTTGTTTGTTCTTACGGGGAGGGGAGTAACAACTATGGTACTAAAATATTCGTATCAATAATTATAGCAATACTACTGTTCGTAATAATAATAGCCCATGTGGCTCTGCAATCAGCCCCAGGGCCGCCTTTGGCAAACTCTCATGTCACTTGGTTTGAATGTCCCGCGTCTAAGAATGGTGAGACGCATGTTCAAGCCATGCTAACTGACTGGTTCTTAGTAGGGAATAAGGGAACATCACCCCTATATACTCCCTATGTAAGATATTCCCATATTCCTTAGGAAGAACCAGTAAGCTAAGGCCCCGTGGGCTTCAACTTTGCTTTGAAAGTTTCTTACAAACTTCGTCTCCGCTTCTGCGCATTCAGCCCCTCTGAGATTCCGAGCAAGTCTTGCACCTGAGCCACAGGTCTACCTAGAGCAACCTAGACCCATATAAAGGTAAAGATACCAAAATATTAGGTACCATCGATAATTTCATGACGTATCTAGGTTACTTTAGCTAGTTCTGATACCCGAAGATAATGGAAGCAGATGCTTCATTAGAATTCTCTTAGTTCTGGTTGGCACTCTAAGCTACAACTATCGCAGAGTCGACTTCTGAAGATTGAGAACGCCCTAAGACCTCTAAGTCGTAATTCAAAGGCCTCGCCCAAATGTAACCAAGATTTGCCGATTTGGCAGTGAGCAGATGCGACTCAGGCGCGATGCGCGGTAACTTGCCAGCTTTCAGCTGCGACTGGATCGTCTTGTTGTTGTTGCCGAACATTCGGCATGCCTTCCTCAGGGGGATGGAAACACCAATATCCACTCTAGCACGTGGCATCAAACAACCCAAGTATTGGGAAAAGGGCTGTGCCTTCACACCCTTTGCTCTGAGGCTTACTATACTGCGTCATCATGACTCATGCTCGCAATGAGCACGCAGCTCGGTTCACTCTGTCATCCTATCCTTTATGATACTGACAACCCTCTCCTGAGGCTGTCAGGGCCTTTGTATGCAGCAGCCTCGCTGATCGCAACAAAATTCTCTTCGTTAATCAATGTTTGCAGAATCCCGCTGAGCATAACAACAATGTAGTCGACTGACCACCTGTGCGCCAAGTCCATTGCTGTCAGCACGGTGTGCCACTCCAAGTCATTGCAGGTGCAGCCGGTGTACAACACCTCTAGGAATAAGGAGACTCCACTGCTGGTAGCATCCTGCAAGAATCACAACAAGGAGCAATTGTGGGGGGGGAATGTTTGCAGCAGAGCACTTTTTGGGCTATGCTTCTTTCGTAGCACTCTCCCTCATTAAAGATGTAGCTAGGCTTGCCATAAGATGCGCCGCTTAAGTGTTATTACCCTGGCTCCTTCACTTCGATGGTTTTCCTGCGGGCTTCCACCAAAGAGCCGCAGAGCATGGCGTCCAGGACAGGCGATGCTTTTTGCAACACCCTCAGCTGAGCATGACTTCATTTGCGAGACAGCGTCTTCTCTCATGCTCTGGGAAGAAAATAATACAAGACCAAGGCTCAGATCGTGTGCCGTGACTTGCCCATCAGATGTTTCAAAGGTCACATTGTGAGTCTTGGTGCACTGGCACAAGCCCTCCCACAGCTCCACCACACTTCGACTGATCGTGATGCGCGGGCGCTTGACGTTGACCTGTGGCTGGCATTGCACAGAGGCAGCTTTCCTGCCATAGAACCTAGGCATCAAGCCCTTTAAGCCCGCTTAGGCGTGTATATTGGGGTACCCATTGGGGTAATATTAGGGTTATACCAGGGACATATTGGGAGAATGGAAAAAAACATGGAAACTACTATAGCATTATAGGGATATATGAGTGCAAAGTCGGCCTCTGTCTTGGCCATAAGCGCGAGGGCGCCTTTGAGGTACTCGATCTCTCTTGACCAGTCAGCCTGCTGCTTGCCTGCACCATGCTCGGAAGTCAGGTTTTGCCCACATGGACAGAGGCAAAAGCAAACATGGCTTCTTCTGGCAAGCTCAAGCTGACAACACCGCAAAACAACAACTGTTCAAGCGTTTCCCAAAAGAAAAGCCTCACATCTTACCCTCTAGCAGGACAGTGTGAAATATTGAACGTCTCCATGGTCCATCTACAGAGCACAAAGGCCAGGGCCTTTCTGACTCATCTCATGTTCCAAGCACTTGCGACATGAGAGGACCAGCGAAACTGCAGAGTGGTTTTTGTAGTCGATGTGGACTCGAGTTCCTGCTGGGGCTGCAGGCTTGTCAAGTCGAAATGTAATGTGGCAAGAGAGACAGTGACATCTTGTACAAGGTGCTATGAAAGGTAGAATTCCCATGTCCTAATATTGCATCTCCGTTTTGCATGGCTACCGGGTGGCCATGTTTTGCCCCTTGCCGTGGGCTGCTAGACATTTTGCAAGGTTTTGTCCTTCGGTTGTGGGATCCTTTTAAGAGCCCCTGAGGGACTACTACCACTACTACTACCACTACTACTACTACTACTGCTACTACTACTACTACTACAACTACTACGACAACTACTAAGTACTACTAAGTAGTACTAACTACTACTACTACTACTACTACTACTACTACTCCTACTCCTCCTCCTCCTGCTACTACCACTACTCCTGCTGCTGCTGCTGCTACTACTACTACTACTACTACTGCCGCTACTACTAGTAATAGTGGTGCTAATACTGGTGCAACATTTAAAGGGGATTCATCCGTTCAGGGTCAGCTCAATTTCTTTCGGGGCCCCCATAATAAAGTGCAACACTTCACTGGTCAAGACTTTGAACCCTGTTAGCATACTTCTCAAAGCTTCACGTTCGCTGCTCGCGCGGGTCCTTTCTTGTCATGATTCTTCCACAGATCTGTGCCGTAAGTGCAAGAGACCGGTGCTTGTTGGGCTGGATCGGCCCCTTCGCCTCACTCACGCTGCTTCATCGGGGTTGTTAAGAAAATGTTCCTCTTATAAAATACTATACTCAAAACGAGGAGATTATCTTTCTCTACGTTGTGCCCTATAGCACCATCAAATAAATCCAAGCTCATATGGGGATGTGGTTTGCAGTTCAGGGTGCTGGGTTGCAAGCTCCACTGGCGCTTTATGGCATGTTTGGTTTAAGGGGTTGCCGAGGAACTGCTTCTGCAACTAATGTGCTAGGGTTTAGGGGTTTAGGGTTTTAGGGTTGTGGGGTTTACGAATTACGGTTCAGGGTCCCTAAACCCTAAACCCAGGTAACCCGTGGCTGGAGGCTTGAGCTTTCCGTGCTACTGCAGCGCTTGTACACAACTGCCAAGGATATGACAGTTTTGTACGTAACGCATGCACTATGTCAGCCTCACTGCGAACCCAATAAGCACTTCATATGTCATCAGCATTCTAAGTGGGGTCCCCCAATATTAAGTGCTTAAGATTATGTTCTTGTGCTTGTGGTCCTCAAAAGCAACAAGATCATCTTATTTGGTTCAACCACCGGACACCGCGACTCCTTTGGATATTGTCCCAGAAGTGAGGGGTGATGAAAACCCCCCACCCATCTAAATGACCCTTAATCCTGCTATCGTTGGTTTTTACTCTTATCGTTTTACAAGGTTTCGCC